CGCAATGAATTGCTAAAATTATATCGATATGAGTTTGCTATTGGGCGGAGAAATAATTTGAAGAAGACTTATGAAGAGAATTTGCGCCAATGTAAAAAAAAGAAAAAAAAATTTTTCGCATCCATTTCTATGTTTAAATTTAGTTTTAATTAAACCATTCATTTGGTTTTCCGATGAAACTATCTGATGATTAATTAATGTATTCATCAAAGATAAAAGTAACATTTACTTTATGTCCCATTGTATATGAATCAATTAAAAGTGACAAATATAAATATCAAAATTTAAGTAAAAAGAGAAAAAGAAAAAGAAGGAGAGAATAGGTGAAAAAAAAAGTTAAGGAGACATCTGTTATAGGAAAATTGATTTATGTGTCATTTATTTTCTCACTTTTTTCTTTTTTTTTTTCTTGTAGCTAGCGTCCATTAAAATTTTTTGAGTCAAATTCCGCCACTTCATCTTCAATTCCCCTGCTAATCGGATGCTAGCAGAAGGAATCTGAAGAAATGTCAACATTTCAGAATGTTACAAATGCATTCGTAAATTTTCCTGCGACAATGAGATGATTTGGACAAAAAAAAAAAAAAAAAAAAATTGTCACATATTTAAAATTACAGCGATTAGCTATTAGCTAACAATCCGAAATAATCAATATCAATTTAATTAACTGAACGATTTAAAAATAGAAACAAAAGCATAAGAGACATTTCGTATCGCTGTTGTACAGACTGGTCAGTACTAATGGTCAAGTGTAAATTTTAGGGAAGTGAAAAAAAGAATGCCTTGGTAGGATCCTAAAAATGGAAATATTTAATTGAAAATAAACTTATATAGTGGGAAAAAATATTAAATAAAATGGTAAATTAAAGAAATACAAAAAAAAAAGGTGAAAAAAAATAATAAAGCAAAAAGTGATGCATTTATTGACCAAAAGAGGAAATCGGAAATAATTTATTTCCGGAAATAATTGGAAATGATTTATTTATTTGCTTTCATTTCCTTTCTCAATAATATATCCATTAGGCATATAAGGCAGAAATAGTGAGAAAAAGAAGCATAATGAATGTTATCGAATGACATAAGTGTCATTTCTTCTTTTAACCTTATTAACATTCTAATCAAGTGCTCTTGTTTTATTATCGACCAGACCATCTTCTTCAAATGGTCAGCTGAAGTGTTCATTAAACGGAAAAGTATTTGTGAAGATAAATTGTAAACATTTAGGACAATGTCCACATAGTATTCTAATAATTGTTAAAAATTTTGTACTATTCCAGATGAAATTTCTCTTTCTCATATTAAACTTCAATTTTAGTAATTTTAATATGGAAAGGAAAAATCGGAATTTTATATATGAAAGAATATTTTAATATGATTTGTAAAATTATTCCTGTTTAATATTTTAACATAAAACTAATCAATAAGGATAATTTTTAATTGAGACAAAAATGAATTGCAAATTATTCCAATATGGAGAGCTTTTAGCATTTATTATTGATAGAAATGATTTAAATTTTGAATATAATTTTAGGAGAAAAAAAATTGAACAAATATTTATGAAATGAAAATCTTTTGCTTATCATTATCTGGAATGTGTTTCTTATCAACATCGTATTGTTTCAATTTTGTAAATTTTATAGGAATAAAGATAAGAAAAATAATACGCAAAAATTTCCTCATTTTTAATCTTTTTTATCATTTTTTTTCCTTTTATCTATTAAAAATTAAAAAAAAAAAAGAAGGAAAAAGAATATTTCATTCGTTGTATTCTTTCAAATGAACTAATCTTTAATCCCTTACAAGTTTTTCTTTTTTTTCTTGGCTTTCTTTTTTCTCAATTTTTTTTCGTTTTTTTTTTTTTAGATGACAAATTTTCAATAGCATAATCAAAGCTTCTTAATAACAATTGACAAATTTTGCAAATGTAAGCAATTATTCTTAACGATCATTGAAATGAGTGCAGAATAGAATTGCAAATGAGGCAGAAAATTTTCACTTCCTTTACCGATTCATTATTCCGGAATGAGTAAATAATTATGAAAACGTAAATAAATGTATTAAACTGATAGCGATATTGTGGCGCAAATTGTGTAGCATTTTCTTATAGTAATTAGCTCAATTCTTGAATAATTAATCTTATTGAATTTAAATTTTAAATGGAATAATTTCACTTTTCTATTTAATTTCAAATATATACAATATCAAATTTAGCACAGATGAATCGAACTAATTACATTTAAAGTCAAAACAGCTATTCGCTGTAGCGCTAATTATTATTATTAATTATGCTAAAATTAAACTTTCAAAACTTTGGCATCCATCGAATTTAACTCCATTAAATTACAATAATTACCTGTAATCAAAGGGAAATCATGCATTAAACAAGTTAAGAAGGCTAAAAATCTGCACAAAATTCAATTTAAAATACTTATTTTGTCTTTGAAACATTCATTTGATGGATTTCTTTTTTTTCTTTTTCTTTTGTCTAAATTTGGCTCAAAAATTAGTTTCATTAAAAAATTTTCGTGCATAATTTTAAGGCTATTTTTGGATAGGATGAAGCCAAAAAAAAAATGATCAAAAGATGAGATATTCGAAAAATGCAAAGAGAAAAATGGCAAAAAAAAAAAATGGAGCCAAATTTATGAAAAGATGAAAAAAAAAAAGGAAATTTGGAAAAAAAAAAATTACCCATTGGGAAAAAATTAATTGAAAAATGCGATCGACCAATAGACTGCTTACTTTTCATGTTTTTATCATTGGTACAA